GCCCTGTCTGATATACTTTTGATATACTTGTACGAATATATATATATACTGCGGTTTGCATAAACTTTGACCATTTGTGCATATATACAAGTATATCAAAAGTATATCAAGAATTATGGGATATGATCCCTGATATTGTTTTCGAGTTGTCTATCACTAGGGCTTTTTGGAAAAAATATCAGGATGACATCCCATGATTTCTGACATACTTTTGATATACTTGTATATATATATATATATATATATATATATATATAAATGGTCAAAGTTTATGCAAACCGCAGTATATATATATATATACAACAAAACTTACTATAAATATATATATATATATATATAACTATACTGCTAAATAATAATTATAAATAATTCTTATTCGCATAAAACAGTTCTTAAGATTCTGGTAGTGGGTAGGATTTGACGCTATATTATCACGATCGTGACCTTTCAAAAAATTTAATTCAATCAAAACTTGAAGGAATATGTTCATTAGACCTCCAGCTGAGAATGGTAAGAAAGCAATGGTAAAGAGTCCAAGATAAGATCAGCATTTACTTCACTTTGTCCATTAGTTGACCTGCATTATTGCTATCGATGTTAATTCGACACAAAGAGCATCACCATCGTAGACCACACTAAAACCTATATAAAGTTGTTTCTTATTTTAACCCTCTGTTGTTTTGTATGTATTGATGTTTGTTGTGACTAGTTTGGCCAGCGACCCACATGTGTGGCGGCAAGGCGGGGTATTCAGTTCACGTTTACCAAATAGGCTGTGAGGCTGTGGGCCGATATCTCTCAGAACACATGTACGCAGAAATAAATCTAGATCGTCTTTGCTGGCAGCGTGGAATTTGTAATGAGAAATGCCTCACAAAGTTTTTTTTTATCACATTACAAATAAGATCGGATACCAAACGTTGTTACGTTTTAGATTCACTTACAATCGCTTCGAAAACATTTTTGTAAGGATTTTGCTTTGAGCGCTGGAGTATTCAAAATGTGCAGAAAAATGACCCACCAAACGGAAATAGCAAATGTCTAACATCGTAGAAATGCCAGCTTTATCTTTCTTGAGTGCCGATAATTGAAGGCACATGTATTTATTTTTGGTGGCTTATCGCCAACCGTAACGCCTCAGTGTTTGCAAACAAATTATAGTAAAAAAAGTTCAATCTTGAAAAAAATGACTGCGTTGTAAACAAGCCCTTTAAAGCGTACATATGTTTGAGTGAGTCGTTTTACTGTGAGTATAAAAATGGCGCTATGAATGTAGTACACGTAAATCAAAACTCAATGAAAGGTTTAAAAAATGTAATCGAAAAAACTTCACATTTCAATAAAATATATCAAGAACAATAAAGCAATTAAAAATATCACCGAAGGATAAAATTTTTTTTGCAAAAGAAAAAAGGTCAAGTTTTCCTTAATCTTGGAAAACGTCTTTCAATGCCACCACTAAAAAAATAATATCAGTTGATAGCTGATTCAAAGCCTCAGAAATAAGTATCTGGCCAATTTCGTACCAAAAAATGAAGTATGCATTAATGCACTAGCTGCTACCATACACTTGTACCTTGAACGGTATATGTGTGTCGCGAGACAGCTTTCGTGAAAAGACTTTGAGTTTTCATTTTTATTTGAAGCCTGACTTACTGCACAAGCCATTTCAGATCATATAACACGTGAAGAAAGCTGCACTGACTTTTTTGTATTTTGTTGTATTTTTTCCCAATTTTTTCGTGAAACCTTTCTAACTTAACTAAAAAGCCTGTTTCGCAATATGCTACAAGTACGGTGTGTGCTTTTCGTCATGTAACGCGTCTTGCTAAGGCATTTGCCATAGGGAAAGAAAGTTTGAATGTATTTACCATGAAAACTATATCTTGGAAACACACGTGTTCAAAATATACAGAAATAAGCTTAATCACCTTATAAAATTATCAAAAACTCGATATTATAATAACTATTTTATATCCAATAGAACTAATATTAAGAACGTTTGGAAAGGAATTAAAGATATTATTGGTTTTAAACATGGATTATCTAATCTGCCTTCTAAATTACTAACATCTAATAATGTTGAGTTAACTGATTGTAAGAGTAT